CCAGCTGTTGAACTACAAGTCCCATAAGGCATTGCAAGACTCACAGCCAGTCATGACTTTTAGTGTCACATGCATGTAGCTTCACCACAGCTGGAGGGCGCAAGCTTGGTTACCCTTAATTTTAAGACATTGAAAAAACAGGACTGTTGTAATGGTTTAGGCCAAATGCTTCCTAACAGGCTAGAGAACCCCTACCACCAACAAGGAAGGGAGACGAAAAGTACAGGAGTAGAAGAGAACAGGTCACAAGAGAGAGACTCCTAGGCCATGTTTCAGCGATGCATCTCCTCCATACATAGGAAACAAAAAAAAATGAGGAGGATGTCAGAGGGACTGCTTTTTAACCTTTGACCCAGAGATGTGTTTCCTATCCTGGTGGAAGGAGCCTCTCTCATGTGCTGTCCTGGAAGTTGACTGGAGAAAACTAATCTAGTCAAGGGTTTTACGGAGGCTGGATTCACTTTTGTTTGACAGTATTCAAACTTCTTGAAGATGGCAGTATAACCCAAATGTCCCTCATTAACTGAAGATTTTTGGGCAGAATAAAAAAGGGTAATTCCACTTTCCCAGGCAGATTTAGCAAAATGGAATTACCCTCAATCTATCCCCTCCCCCACCCCCCTTACATTTGGACAAACACTGCTTTCCCTCCACGGCTCCTGATGTACAGTACATAATCATTACAGCCCTTTGCTGGGTATTTCAAATTACCCTCACAAATGAAGAGCATTCATTGGTCAGGGCAGTTATCACGCCAATGAGAAGCACTTGTTGCCAAGAAGCATCCTCATTGGTCAACGCAGTCAGAAGCGCTTCTGATCGGTCAAGTGAATGCAATGAATGAATTCTCACTATTTGCAAGCTTAACTTGAAATACATAGTGAAGGGCTGCAATGCTGTGTACAGATCATACATCGGCAGCCACGGAGAGGAAGCAGCATTCGTTTAAGGCCCCGTTCACATTGAGCGGTGCGTTTGTTGCGCGATTTGCATTTTGCGCGATATCGTGCAAATGCTTGCATTGAGCAAGCTTGAATCGTGGCAAAATCCGCTCCAAAAAGGGTCCTGCTGTAGCGACACATGACAGCAGGACCCTTTGCCCCATTGCCAAGCATTGGAGCGCGATATCGTGCGGTAAATAGCCGCGATATCGCGGGAATTACCGCGTGATAAATTGCTCAATGTGAACGGGGCCTTAAGGTAGAGTGGTGGAGGGGGAGCAGATTGGTGGGGATATTTCCATTTTCCCAAATTCACCTGGGAAAGTGGAATTACACTTTAAAGCTCTTACAAATACTACTGTAGGACAGCATATAAAAACTTAGGTTAAAAAATAAAATAAGCATTCGATGCTAAATAGTGGCGTGGATCACAGCAACATTTCACATAAATGACATAAGCACAACTGCCATCAACATTCAAGAATAGCACATCTACATTCACTCTTCTCAAAAACATCAATCTTGTTCTAGGAATTTCCACACAGAGTACGGTACTTTCCTACCAAAACTATACTTCATTAACCATAACAGCTGATAAAAGCAAATCATACCTTATTTACAGTGAAAAGTCATAAATACATCAGTAATGCACTATTTATATGCACAATATAATGCTACATAGCACAAACATACCTCACTCCGCCTGTAAAACTAATCAGAACCATGCTCCATCTGTCTAATGACCCATTTAACCAAAGACAAAAGAGCTCCGGCTTTTGATAACTAGAATATCAAGAAATGAAACTATAATAAACATCTGCAAAGTACTGAGTCAAGATTCATAGAAACCCTTTATACAGAACTAACAGGTGTTTGTACTGAAACTGTACTGACATCTGCATCATACTTGCAGTTAGTGTTTTGCCCTCACATACAGTACTTGTTAGTGTAATTTATGAAGTATAGATTGGAGCATGGCCTATTAGCCCCAGACTTGCAAGAAACCTCCACCATGCTTCACTGTGGCTGCAGACACTCATTGTACCGCTCTCCAGCCCTTCGCTGAACAAACGGCCTCCTGCTACAGCCAAATATTTCAAATTTTGAGTCAGTCCGTCCAGAGCACCTGCTGCCATTTTTCTGCACTCCAGTTCCTATTTTTTTTATGCATAGATGAGTCTCTTAGCATGGTTTCCACATCGGAAGTGCGGCTTTTTGGCTGCAAGGCCACAGAAAAATGGCAGCAGGTGCTCTGGACTGAGGAGTCTAAGTCCCCGTTCACACTGAGAGCATATTTCCACGAGATATCACGCGATATCGTTCGTCCAATGCTTTTCAATGGAGCTGTCCACATCCTACAGCTCCATGTCACCTGTAGCTCGTCGCCTGTACATGACCCTTTTTGCACGGATGTCGCGTGATTTGGTAGTATTTGCATGCAGCCCAATAGAGAAGTTGCGCTATATCGCGCAACTACGATCGCGTGGAAATAAGTAAGATTTGCATGTCGCTCAGTGTGAATGGGGACTAAGTGTAGCTAGAAGAATTGATGCGGTTTTGAAGGCAAAGGGTGGTCATATCAAATATTGATTTGGATTTCTATTCTGTTCACTTACTTTCCATTTTGTTAAATGATAAAAATAAACTATTAATACTTATTTCTGAAAGTATTCTGACTTTACAGCATGTTTTTACACCTGCCTAAAACTTTTGCACAGTACTGTATATGTGCCAAAAGTGGTGGTTTAGCCATCAATATAAATTTTACTACACTGCACAGGGCACACAGTACGCAAATTTCAATACTTCCAGATAGTGAGGACAGTGGGTCCACTTCCTGTAACATTACTGCTGGGCCATCATCATCAAGGGCACCCTTACTGATCAACAGGAACATAGGGGAGGAGGTAGGCTAACTAGTCATAAGTATCAATAGCTTCTCCAGCACCCATTGCAAGACCACCAATAAAATTTGCCTAAGAGCCTAAAACTTTTGGTATGTGCAGACACCAATAGGTGCCTGCATTGTAGTGCATCATTACGGTACCGACAAGTTTACTGTAACCGACAATACCATTTCCCTGATTAAATACCAACATTTGGTACATTATGGCAGCTCCTAAATATTACAAATAAAAGATGCATTAGTAAGTATTCTGTTAAAAGTGCTAATCCCTGGTATACCTGTCGTGAGAGAAATAGAGAAACACCCTACCGAACCATGTCAGTAAAGGGCAACACGTGCACACTGCAGTGCATCACAACGCACAATGTTTATATATGTGGCACACTGCATTAAAAAAAGATTTGATTTTTCATTCGTTAACGTGAACTGCCATCTCATTCAGAATGAACGAACACAGCGCGTCTATATCGAGTTGAAACAAAGTCTTAACATGGCCTTCACAGAAGCAAAAATAACTTGAAATGTCAATAACAACCTTTGAGAAGCTTGCTTTCTTTTTCTTCAGTTGGCCATAAACAGCCCAAGAAAAGCAAGTAATGCTCCCAATTTCAAGCATCACGTGCAAAAATCGGGCAGTTTCTGTGTGCATGGCAAGATGGCCTATGTTGATGCTATTTAATACATGCTAATTTACAGGAATCTATCTGCCCTGGTAAATAAAAACGCTTATTACCGGTTTATCCTGTCATCAGTTATTTTCCTATCTCAACAGTGTGATAATGTGATTCATTCTGCAAGGAAATCACAAAGCATCATCCCCCAGAAGATAGGGTAGTCTTAGGCCTTGTTCACACCAAATGCAGAGCACATCCAGTCAGGTTTCTGCACACGCAGTGCAGTGCGTTGTGCCGCGTTTTGGGCTGCTTTTGCTAAAAAAAAAAAAAAAGTTTTTTTTTAGTTTTTTTAAAGTTTAACATGGGCTTTCAGGCACTTGCATGCGTTTTTGCGTTTCTCATGCGTTTTTGATGCATTCCAGAGCAGGTAAAATAGGGCTTGCCGCAGTTTTTTCACCTGCTCTGGATCTGCACGCTGCGATGTGAACTGGAGCTCAAAATACCATAGGAATACATTGGACGCAGTTTTGATCCGGTCTGCACCTGCTCTGCTCTGGATCTGCTCCGGGCTTGGTGTGAGCAAGCCCTTAAGCTGACCATACACCTTACAATTTATCTGCAGATTTTCTGTGGTCAGATGGAAAAGGTGATACAGATTCCTCCATCTAAATAACTGTGTGGATGGAGTAATCTCCACCTGGGCCAATCTGTTGCACTTTTTCCATCTGACCACAGAAAATCTGCAGATAAATAGTACGGTGTATGGGCACCTTTAGAATGGCTTTAAAGCAAGAGAAAAAAAGATAAATCAAGGCCAACTCCAGCTAACACGGTTAAAAGTGCATCTATAGCCAAAAATTGTTTTGTTTTTTGGTAAGGGTTAAAACTAGGGATGCACAGATATCGGTACTCTATGCCGAAAAACCGGTATTTCTTTTTTCGGTACTCTCCGATACCGGGTGGTGGGTTGGGGGGGTCGGGTTGCGACATGCCACCCAGCTTCCTGATTGGCAGGGAAGCCCGGCTGCTCAGCAATAAGTGAAACCGGCTTCCTAGCACAGCTTCCCGATTGGCAGGGAGTATCCGCCCAAATACTCGGTATCGGTGCATCTCTAGTTAAAACCCTGCCAGGTAAATTTTTGTTGGCTGTGTAATATTATGGAAATTTCCGTCCACTTCTGTCCTTCCTTTCCCAGAGACACAACAGCAAGTTAGAGGAAATTCCATCTTAGTGGTCTCCAGAACATTTCCCCTATTATACAGGATTTATATAGCGCCAACAGTTTGCACAGCACTTTACAATACATAGTTAGTCAGGTTGAAAAAAGACACAAGTCCATCGAGTTCAATCAAAAGAGATACGGAGAACGTTACAAGGAGGACGTTACAGTCACCATACAAATCAAGACAAAATGGTAAGGTTTGCCCTCTCCTCTTTCTGGATTTTGGATTTCCCCTCACTTTGTCTTGGTGGCAATGGTCCCCAATACAGACAAAGTGGTGAATTTCCATAAAGGGGACACAGACTGCAAAAGAAACTCGAGACTAACCACCCAGGGAAAGGCAATCTAAGGCACAAGTGCTAAGGTGGGCATGCAATGCCATTTCAGTGGGACCCGGAAGATCATCAAGTGGCATGCATTCAGACACAGACAAGCCCAGTGGAAGATCCCGCTCCCTACAAATACAATACTACTGCCATAGACTGTTACAAAGCCCAACCAGGCCCTCTGCGCCAGCAGCCAAGCCATCTCCTTGAAATTTCAGAGTCCCACTCAACGTCACTGACATTCAACTGCCAGGTCTCCCCCAGTACCAGTGTAGGTCTGCCTACCCTTGACCACGTGACACGATTAGATGTCAATAAACATTGATTGAAAATTAATCTAGAGTGCAAGTGACCTTTTCTACATCATTTATTGATTCACGGAAGCATCCGTAGTCACTCTTTGCACCCACCCAACTCCAAAGGGTTTCTATTCGGTCAGGAGTGCAATGGGTTCTGATTGAATATTGGTCTGCCTACCCTTTCTCCTCCTAGGGGAAATGAGAGCATCAACAGGTATGAATGTAAAACCCCTAGATATTCGATGGTGCAGGAATTGGGGCTGATCCGAGGTCTACGTTACACTATTATCTACTGCAGGGTTAGGCAACCTTGGCATGCCATCTGTGCTGAAACTACAAATCCCATCATGCTTCTAGTAGCCCGTGGCTTTTAGTACCTTGCAATGCCTCATGGGACTTGTAGTTCTACAACAGCAGGAAAGCCAAGGTTGCCTAAGCAGAGTCTAGAGCTTGTAAAATGACACTAAGAGCTTATTCCAACGATAGTGTTGCTCCATACACGCAGCATTCATACATCCAGAGCGCACCGTGTATTGCATTTCCATTTATTTGAGTGGCACCCTTATACACAACCCAGTGGCTGTGTGTTGAGCGGAAAAAAAAAAAGTAATACAAGTACCTTTTTTTTTTTTAACCACAGTATTGAGGTACTGTGCGTTATGCTTCAACACAAAGCTACCGGGAGGTGCATTGGGGTGTCATCCAAATGAATCTCAAGGCAGCATGCGGTACAACATGATAGGTATGCTGTGTGATAGAGATTTAGTACACTATGGTGTGAATGGGCCCTTAAAGTGACTCTGAACCCAGGAGTTAAATCTTAAAAATGCATTCTAGTACCTTAACTGTTAACAAAAAAAGTCTCACTCGGCTGTAGATCCTCCAATCATCTCTGAATTGGTATGGACACTGTCCTTCCTTCTGGAGGGTGGCTACTTTTGTTCTCAATGATCCCTGTGTGTGTGTTGTAAAGTAGTCACCGCTCCAAGCTCGCTCCTGTGATGGACTACAATCTCAATACAAAATTAGTAAACTAAACATAAGATTGTAGTCCATTCCGGGAGGGAGCTTGGAGCGGTGGCTACTTTACAGCACACACAGGGACCATGAGGAACGAAAAGTATCCACCCTCCAGAAGGAAGGACAGTGTCAGCACCAATTCAGAGATGATTTGAGGATCCACAGCCGAGTGATACACAAATCTACATTTTTGTTAATCCTTGAGGTACATGTATGCATTTTTAATGTTTTAACTCCCGAATTTAGTGTCACTTTGAAGTGGAAAAGGTAACTGACCCCAAAACCTAACCGCTTCCCAGTTCTAGCTTTTGGGGGAGGGTTAGCCCCCATCAGTGTAATGTGAGTTTTCCTAACCCTGTGACCACCTTTGTGGGGTTGTAACGGATATTATAACGCACTGCCCCTGATGAGAAATGTCTGCCTAACACATCGTAAAATTTGCATGTACCATTTCAGTCAGGGAGTTAACCGCATGTCCATCAGCAAGGTGATTAAGGTCCCTTGGTGGACTGAAACATGTTCGCAATCTTTTTAGCTGCTTTTATACCTGTTCAATGAGGAGACGCCATTAGGAGGATTCCTACAAGTGTCAGCTCTTTTCCACTTCATCGGCAAGGTACACTGGGTGCCCTTTAGAATAATTGACACCACAACGCACTGAGGCTTGTAACATGTGTTACTGTACCACACCTATGTGAATGGACCCTTAAACTTTGGATGGTCAGCTTTGTCTGCATGCCAATCTGACTACTATTCCTACAAGTGTTTATCACATTCACTTAACAGGATACAATGTTTATTACCATGGTGGCCTTTTACAATGGTGAGATGAGCAGGCCATAATAGCTTGCATTACTTCACCGTCAGTTAAAAGAGGCACTCCACCAGAGGCCCCTGGAGACACTGATGGCCTCCAGCTTCTTTGACACCCCACAATACTCTCGGGGACTTCCGGAAAGGGGAAGAAAGCTCGCCTTCTTCCATTCCTCTCTGCTCACCACACAGACCGCCCATATATTCCCGAACTGCAGAAACGTCTTCTCTAACTCGGATTATAATAGATGACCGAGTGTATCGTCTACCATCGGCCTAGTCAGCCGCAGGAACGACTCGCACAGGCCTGAACAAGAGAGGCCGGGTCGCCTATATGAACGCAATAAGAAAATACATTGTAAGTGTGCGGCTCCCCGGCCACCATTTAGCTTTTACACACCCCTTACGGCCACGACTCAGCTGCCTACACCGTTCTTGAAGCCGTTCCTCTAAGCTTCCGGTTCCGGTCGCGGCCTTTTTCGCTCAGTCGTGCTAAACCGCGGTCCGCCATTAATCACGTGAATTTCTTGTGCCCGCCCCTTCCTACGCCATCCTAGACCTGTACCGCAAATGACGTCTGTAAGGTTGCTTTTTTTTTCTTTGGTCGAACTTTATTAACACAAAAGAAAAGGAACAAAGCAGATGTGAGGCGGATTTGTTAAAGTAGTTCAGAAGCTTCACTCAAATTACTGTGAAGTTTCTCAACTACTTCATGTATGGAATCATGTGAAAAGCATCTGCAGTTGATTAGATATGGAAAGTAAATGGGAATTTGCTCTTCGCATGACTGCATAGATGAAGTGATATTTGCAGAATTGTTTGAATGAAGTCTTTGAACCTCATTGGTAAGGGTCAATTCACATCAGCAAGCTGTGCTAAACACACGGCCGCTGGTGCGCGTTGCGAGAAACAGTGCAGATACGCCACCGCCAATGTCTGAGCCTCACACTGTTTAATTTTTTGGTGTAGAACTTTATTGAAATGTCACAGAAGACACTTCATTCAGCTCCGTATACACAACATAGTGCAATGCGGTTGTACCACGTCACACTGCAGTGCGCTAAAAAAACAGTAGTGCTTGTAGTACTTCTTCAGCACACCTCGAACTTTACTGCAATGTGAACTGAGAACCTTGGGCACCATCACACTGCAGGGAACTTGGTCATTGGAGGAGTCTTGTTCCCTGATCAACATCCTGTAACCTCCGGGCAAGGTCTATCGTTGCATCAAGTAGGCATATTTCACTTGGTTGTGAGTCTCAGGGCTGCCACCCAGTGGCAAAGCAAGACATTCCGTCACCCGGGGCAAAGACTCACAGGGTTATTCACTACAGATGAAGAGTTTGGAGAAGGCAGGAGAAGTGAACAATCTAGGCCAACATAGCAGATTGCAAAAAAAATCTGCAATTCACCTCACTTTCCAGTTCAGCTATGTTGTCCTAGATTGTTCACTTCTACTCCCTTCTCCAAACTCCTCACCCTTTGTAACTAACCCTGTCAGAGATCAGCAGTGTAATGCATAGTGCAGAGGTCAGCAGTGTGACGCACAGTACAGAAGTCAGCGGTGTAACACATAGTGCAGAGGTCAGTGCTGTGACACACAGTACAGATGTCAGTGGTGTAAGGCATAGTGCAGAGGTCAGTGCTGTGACACACAGTACAGATGTCAGTGGTGTAACGCATAGTGCAGAGGTCAGTGGTGTAACACATAGCGCAGAGGTCAGTGGTCTAACGCAGAGTACCGAGGTCAACGATGTGACACAGAGGTCAGTGGTTTAAAGCACAGTGCAGAGGTATGCGGTGTAATGCATAGTGCAGAGGTCAGCGGTGTAACGCATAGTGCAGAGGTCAGCGGTGTGACGCAGAGGTTAGTGGTGTGATGCACAGTACAGTGATCAGCAGTGTAATGCATAGTGCAGAGGTCAGTGGTTTAACGCACAGTGCAGAGGTCAGTGGTGTGACGCAGAGTGCAGGGGTCAGCGGTGTGGTGCACAGTACAGAGATCAGCAGTGTAATGCATAGTGCAGAACTCAGCGGTGTAACGCATAGTGCAGAGGTCAGGTGTGTGACGCACATTACAGATGTCAGCGGTGTAACGCAGAGTGCTGAGGTCACTGGTGTGAAGCACAGTGCAGAGATCAGCAGTGTGACGCGGAAAGAACAGACTTATAGTGCACACAGTTGATCTAATTCAGCTGCTCTGCCTTCTTCCTCTGAAGAGGTGTTGGTGGGGGGAGCAGCCATGTTTCCTGCATGTACTAAGGTGAAGCCCAGGGCAGCCCCCTTATGTCCTCAATGTTAGTTCTGCACTCCCCCTCCTATAGCCTATAGCAGGTGAAGTGGGTGGAGGGAGGTGCAGGTGGTTGCCAAGGAGCCTGATCAGTGTAGCGGGCACTTACAAAGGCAGCCGAACCACTTCTTCTCCCCTCGGCTGCTGCAGCTACAGAGTAGCCGAGAGGGGAGAGCTGTATGAGTAATCGCCGCTGGCGGTAGTGGCAGCATCTTTTTTCAACTAGTTTTGCTCCCTGGATTCACCACTGGACCTTCTGACGGCGCCCCCCCTTGATGCAGCATCTGGGCACATGCCCCCCCTAGTTTTGGCACTGCTGACACCCCAGAAATTTCTCTGTGGGACAAATCCTTTCCTTCCTGCAGCTGGATTTGGGCCATTATTCAGTTCTCAGCACTATCAAGCGTCAAGGTATGACCTTTCCATTCTGTGTCAGAGACTGTTTGCCTCTAATTCTTTTTTTTAAGCTGATCAAACACTTTGCCAATTTCATGAAGAACGGGACCAAATTCGCACTCTTCCGCGGCCGTCTTCCCTCGATTAGAAGATCGAAGGAGCCAGTTGGAAGATCTTCAAAAGAAAAGTGCTTGCAACCAATCAGATGCAAGCTCCGTTCATGTATTCTGACAGTGACTGTTGTCAGAATATAAAGGAAACAGCAGGAGATTCCATCGTCAACGCTCATAAGCGTAATTACTTTTTTTCCCAACCATTTTAAAAATTGTAATTATTTTTTAATTACTTTATTTATTTTTGAACTTTACTGCTGGGGACTCCGGTGTCACGCGGGGAGGAGAGAAGCTAGGGATGCACTGAAATTTTGGTCGTTATGGTTCTTTCAGCATTTTGCCCAAAGTTTTTGGGGAAATTTCAGTGCATCCCTAGTAAAAACTCCTGTTTTCCCTGTTTGTCCTATATAATCTATCATCAATCAGGGATAACAAACTGCATACATAAATATACAGGAAACCCACTGACCTATACAATTATTTCCACAGTTCCAGCTTCCACCCAAAACACAACAAACAAGTCACCATACTACGCCAGGCCACTAGATACCACCGTATATGCTCTGACCCAGAAGACAGAAATAGACATCTCAGAGTACTAGCACAGTCCTTTCATAAGAAATGTTACTGCAACAAAACCATCAGAACAAGCATACAGTAAATGCTGCCTTGAAATCCCAAAGGGAAAATCTCCTACAAATTAAAGAAAAAAAACCCCCAAGAGTTCATGTTCCCCCAGTAACCACATACAATTCAACAGTAGAAGGGATAAAAAAGGTAATCAAAGAGCTGCAACCTATCATAAAAGAGTATGAAACACTGTGCCATCACACCATATGCTGCAAGCACTATTTTGACTGCAACAAACCTGACTGCAAGCACAATGTGCCCTGCGATCCTGTGCGGGCAATCGCATTGCGGCCAGAGGGCGTGGCTACGGTGCCATTCACTTCAATGGCTTGCCACGCCCCCTCCTGCCGGGCAAAAAAGTGAGCTGGTCGCAATGCGATGCAGTGCGTACCGGCCGGAACGTGGCCGGAATGCACTGCATATGGTGTGAACAGGCTCTTAAAGAAACTTTCCAGCAATTACCAATACTGGCCGGTAGGCAGGCAACCACCCAACCACAAACATCAATTGATTGGAAGGAAACTTAATTTTGATTACAGAGCTGCAAACAAGGGAACAAAACCTGCAATAATAAGTGCTGCCACTATAGTCCATTATAATGTGTCACACACACAAAAGGAACCCTCAGTAGTAAAAGATCATAAAGCTGCACCGCGAGTAATGTGGTGTATTGTATATCATTCAATGCAACAAGTGCAGCCAGGGATGTTATATTGGTGAAACGACAGAAATTACAAAAACAAATGAATCTACATAGACACACCATGAAAAAACAAAAGGTTGATGATTGCTGCACACCTGTGGGACATCATTTCTCACATTCAGATCAAAAGCCTGAAAAAAAGTAAAACTAACATAGCCATCTAAAGTTTGGTAAGCAGAAATATATTACAGTTGCTCTCCATCTCACATTTCCTGGAAATTCCTAGCTGTCAAAATGACAGTCGGGAGTTAGTGTGTACATACAACAGCTGTAGAAGTTACTGCTGGCAAAAAAACAGACCATCTGGCACAGTGGGGGGAATTTATCAAAGCAACAGTTTGAGCCTACGTTCACAACTAGGCGTTTCAGATGCCGAGCTGCTTTCGCGTGGTTGTCGCGCGTTTTCAATTGCGCGACTGTTCATTGTAAACCGCGCGATTGTCGCGCCTTTTTCAATGCATAGAGATGTCTATGGGACCCAAACCGCGAAAATAGCTTCTGCACCTTTTCGAGCGACAGACGATTTTGGTTGGGCAACAAACAGCAAAGGTGTGAGCAGCCTCCATTGACTTCAATGCAAATCTGTGTTTTGTGCGATATCGCGCGACTCAAACAGCGCGATAAATGACCTAAGTGTGCACCGGCCCTTAATCTCTTAGATCATTTTTTATGTGCACATCTGTCTTTTAACATGTGCCCCTGTTTTGACATGAGCTTGCACTACTTTTTCAATTGCACTTTTTTTTTGCAAGTTTTTTGCACCTGTTTACATCTGCGCTTGTTCTGCAGCTGTCTGAAACTGGAGCATCACTCACAACACTCACAACATAAGAAGTCCCCATGACCACTTCTTCAAGAAGCGACAGTTAAAGTGATATTAAAGCCACATTTTTTTATTATTTCTCCTTTAAGGAGACCCTCCTTTGCTGGACGCTGTTGTTTGTTTTTTTTAAAGTACTTCTTTCCTCGTTTTCTAGTGTGTCCCCGCCATGCTCTTCCCCCCGCCCCCAGCACGGGGGCCACCATTGTTCTAATGGAGGCACCCGTGCGCACTCATCCTCGCAGCGGCTGTGTGCGTCCATCGACACACACAGCCCTGTGGCAGGCCACGCCCCTTCCTCCTTTGACTGATGGCAGAGGAGCCTGTGGCTCCTCTGCCATCAGTATGCTTCCCCGCAACCCAAAAGTTCGGGGTACAGAGGATCACTTCGGGATCGGCGGCGGGGACAAGCGCAGCTGAGAGGTAAGTGTGGGGGGGACTGGGGTAAAAAAAAAGGTCCTGGGCTGTTTTTACCCTAATGCAGAGAATGCATTAAGGTAAAAAACACCAAGACCTTAAAGGAGAACTATGAGATGAGTGATTTCCACTCACCTCATAGTTCTAGCCGACCTGTGACAATGAGACTGTC